TGCAAAAAAAAGCGAAATGAAACTGAAAGTCAAAGACAAAACAGGCTTCAAAAAGCCAGAGACTATAAGAAAATAATGATTTCAACTGAAACTGACAGGGAAATCAGATTACAGAAAAATAATGCACTTCAAAAAAGAAAAAGGTCAGATCAATCTCCTTCTGAGAGAAAAGTAAGGCTTGATAAAGTCAGAGAAGATATGAAAACAAAGCGGCAAAAAAATCGATCTGTACCTGTACTTTCTTAGGAAGACTATTTGGAAGAATTTGATTCTGTCAAATATGGTAAACTACATAAACAAAGTTGGGCAAAGTCATTTATGTTAAAATTCGATAATTCAATTAACTTTTCAGTTTTTCAGTGTACTGTTTGTCATGAGGCATGGCCAATGAAATTAAAATCTATATCACCAGACACTTACATATACTCACGATGTGACAGGGACAAAAAAATCCCGAAAACGTTTTCAAAAAAAAATTCTATGATCCCTTCTCCAATTCCTCCTGAGTTGCAAGGTTTGACTCAGGTAGAAGAGATATTATTTGCTCGTGCGCTACCTATAATGAGAGTTTATATTAAACCAGGTGGCCAACGAGGTTATTCTGGGCATTGCGTAAATCTGACCAACATGTTGATGAACTTGCATTTTCATTGCCACGATATCCAAAGATCTGTCTGTGATCATTGTTAAGATCAAGGGTAAAGAAAATACCTTGAAAGATGTCAATGTCAGAAAGCAAAAAGGTCTTGATTCCTTATTGTGGCTTAAGCAAAATAATCCTCATTATAAAAATGTAGAAATTGATACTCAGGCACTAAATGAGTTGCCTTGTTAATGGAACACCATCAACTCTTTTGACTGTGGAGACAAATGATGACGTTGTCACTCCTGAAACTATTGGAAATGATGTAGGTCCACCTACTGATAATTCATCTGAAGATACTGTATATAGCGATTCTACTGAAACAAGCAGTTTTTTAACCATTGGTGAACAACAAGAACTAGATGCTGTAAGAAATCAGCTCTCTGCTGAAGACCAATGTCTTGGCCCACAGTTGAAGATCAGCCATTAAATGGATACCAAATCCAATATCTTGCAACCATGGCATTTCCTACACTATTCCCTGATGGAAAGGGAGACCCAACAAATCAAGCACTACAAAGAAATGTTCCTCTTTCTGAGCGAATCAAGCATCTTATGAAATTTGCGGAAACAATTGATGGTAAGTGGCTATACCGATTTTCTGGTCATCCCAGATTTTGCTACTGGGCATTTAATATGATTCAGAGAATGAGAACTTTGCAACAAACTGGAATATTTCTGAAACAGAATCCAGGTGAAGCACATCTTACTATTGACGAGTTGCGTGAAATGGCAGCAAGTGACAATTCTGCTGCCTTCATTTCTAAGGTGTCTAGGCATGTTGCTAACATTGCTGGTTCAAATGCTTATTGGCATAGGGTAATTAATATTATTGTCCAAAATGTTGATGTCAACAGTGATCCACACAAAGCTATTAAAAAAGTTGCAATGAAAACTCTCGGTGAACGAGATTATTCCGCTCAAGAAGTAATGCATCATCTATTTTCATCAAAATTACATAGTTCATCATACAATGTTGTTCCTGTGAGTCTCAATGGCTCGCGTAGAGTACATACCAACCACTCTGTTCATAATGGTAATATCAGCTGTACAAGCAATTCATCTCTAGATGTTTATGCTAATCGTCAGCATTATGATAGCTCACCTGAGACAATGAACCTAAATTTTATACAGTTTAGTACTAAATACAAAGTTGATGATGGAAACCTCACAAAATTACCAGACAATGTCATTCCTCGCATTTTCCCAACTTATTCGTCCAGGCCAATGCAAAAGGGCCAATTTTTCCTAATTATTGCAAGGCGTTAGATTGTGGTAAAGAAATGGACATGATCTATTTAGATTTTTCCAAAGCTTTCGATTCGGTACCTCACGATAAACTTATTTTTAAACACTCCCAATTTGGTATTACTGGGTCGCTCTTAGACTGGTTTTCTGACTATCTGTCTGGACGTAAACAGCGCGTGGTAGGTGAAGGTTTCTCGTCAAGTTACCTCGATGTAACATCTGGTGTTCCTCAAAGCAGTATTGTTGGCCCATTGCTTTTCTTGATCTACGTTAACGACCTTCCTGACTCAGCAAAACACAGCAAAGTACCAATGTTTGCCGACGACAGTAAATGCTATAAAATTATAAACAATCCACACGACTCTAATCTCCTCCAATCAGATATTCAAGCCCTTTGTCTTTGGTTTTCTACTTCGAAGGTAAAGTTCAACTTGAAGAAATGTTCTGAAATAAGATTTTCGCGGAAACGTTCATGTATTGAGTCTCCCGATTACTTTGCTCCAGTCAGATCCCTTTTCAATCAACTCAAAAGAATCTTGGTATACTTATAACGAATAACTTAAAATGGTCGCCTCATATTTCCAATATTGTTTCCAAAGCAAACCGCATGCTTGGATTTCTACGACGTAACTGCACATATTTAACTGATATAAATTGTCGACGCTCTCTCTATTTGACACTTGTTCGTACACACCTGTGTTATGGCAGTGAAATTTGTCACCCCAAACAACATATAGGACCTTCTGCGTCTTGAAATTGTCCAAAGACGAGCGACCAAGTATATCCTTCAAGACTTCACCTCATCTTACACCAACCGTTTAAAGAATCTTAACCTACTGCCTATTTCATCCTGGTTCGAAATAAAAGATATTACGTTTTTTTATAAATGCAAAGCTGGTTATTATGACTTAACACTTGAAGACTATATTCTAGATAATTCTACTAATCATCACACTCGCTTTAGCTCTACTGATTCATACCGACCAAACCGTTGCAGAACATCTTCTTTCCGAAACCTGTTTTTCAATAGGATAGTGCCACTATGGAACAGCCTGCCAGGAGATATAAAATCTTCTCACTCCATTCAGTCACTGAAACTTAAACTCTATAATCACTGCACTCAAAAAGTTAACGCATGTTTTGATGTTAATAGGCCAAGGACTTGGAAAATGTTTTGCTCTAAATGTCGTTCTTGTTTTATGTCTTGTTGTTCGTAGAAGTGCATGTTCTGAGTTTTTGTACGAATGTAATTATGTGTAATACCGTAAATATGTAACTAACTATGTATTTTGTTAATTTTATAACCGTTTATAGTATAGTATAGCATAGTATAGCTTAGTAATTCATGTATGGCAGGACTTAATTTGGGACTTTATTAGTCCTGTTTTCTGTGCCTTCAATTTTCTTATTGTAAAACTAATAAAAAAGTATCAGTTGTTAAGATACAAACCTTGGAAACATACTCAAAATGATGCATGGGGTAACCAAGAACCATGTTATGAAGTGTTTGTTTCTCAGTGGCAAGAATTTTTGCAAACACCCTATGCACAAGCTAATGTACCAGACTGGTTTGATAAACTTGAAAATGCTATCCAGAGTCAGGAAGAAACAGAGAATTCTCCTCAGGAACAAGATAGTATAGATCGCGAAGATCTATACTATCTCCATACTCAATTTGAAAATTCTGAGAAAACGGAACCAACTGGCTACTGACATCAAGATAGAGCTAGCTACACTGATCAACAAATTGGTGAAATGCCTAATTGGATTAAGACCATGAAGGAACAATCAAGTACTACAGTACTACAGTACAACAGCCCTATGATGTTGTAGACATAAGCAGTTTCGGTAGAATGCAACAACTTGCATATAATATCATAAAAAAACATTTTGAAGATGAATCTCCAGAAAAAGAACCCTTGTGTCTTATCATGATAGGTGAAGCTGGCACAGGTAAAAGCTATCTTATTAATGCCATTCGTAATCTTTTGCAAAGTAAATGTGCAGTAACTGCTACAACAGGAAAAGCATCTTTCAATATTAGAGGTGCTACAATTCATTCCTTATTGAAACTATCAATAGGAACAAGAGGTAACAAAGATGTTACAGGACAATCTCTTTGCAGATTACAGGAAAGCCTTAACGGTGTTGACTACATTATAGTAGACGAATATTCTATGCTTGGGCAAACTACATTTGGTTGGATTGACAAACGCTGCAAACAAGCAACTGGTCACCATGACCACATTGTTGGAGGGAAATCTTTCATTTTGAATGGCGACCCTGGCCAGTTTCCCCCTGTTGCAAATAAACCACTTTATCATCCCAAACCATCAAATGCTATTGCAGGGCAAGGGTACCAAACATATAGAATGTTTAACAAAGTGGTTAAACTTACTGTTAATCAAAAAGTACAATGTGCCAGTATACAACAACAGCAGTTCCGAGACTTGCTTATGAGATTGCGTGTTGGTGATTCTACATGCAATGATTGGGAAATGCTATTGACACGGCAACCAGCAAATATAAGAGATCTAACACTATTTAATGATGCTACTAGATTGTTTTATGGCAGTGACCAAGTTGCATCATATAATCATGATCAACTTATAAAACTGCAACAACCTGTTGCTGTTGTTAATGCATACCATTCTTCAGTAACCGCAAAAAAAGATTTCTCCTGCAGACATGTCAGGTCTATAACCAGTAGTATTCCTAGCAAAGAATGCAAAGGTAATGCTAACAATGAATCTTTGACCGTCTTTTGGGCTCTGTAATGGCGCTACTGGAACAATAATTGATTTTATATATGAAGTTGAACAGCAACCACCCCACTTGCCTATAGCTATAATTGTTCAATTTGATGATTACAATGGTCCATCTATCAGTGACACATTGCATTCTTGTATTCCAATATGTCCTCTAAATGTCTCTGCTCAGCTCTCTGAAGGTGTCCATGAGAGACAACAATTGCCTCTCAGACTTGCATATGCTCTTACAATACACAAGAGTCAGGAGCTTACACTTCCTAAAGCCTGGGTAAATATTGGTAAATCAGAAAAACTCCTGGTATCTCTTATGTTGCTATTAGCAGAGTAAAAACATTGACATCCTTTTTTTATTGAATCAATGACATTTGAAAGGTTGACAAGCATGAAGTCATCAGCAAACTTGAAATACAGGCTTGTTGAGGAAAAAAGATTACATATTTTGGCACAGGCAACATGCAGTGAATTTGACCAGGCATAACTTTACTTTAAAAAAAATTTCTTTTACCTTCTTTGCATTAAAGTATTTTAATTAATTTTATATAACGTTCCTGCTTATAGTTACAACATACAAGACAAGCCAGGATGGACCAACAAGCTAGTAAGTATTTTCTAGGATATTGGATATCTGTCATTATTACCCCCAATTAATGTATGTTTAAATTAATTCACCAACATAACCAACCCTGATATTCCTTATTGCCTTGATAGGTGAATTGCTAAATAAATTACTTTGTATCACAAACATCTAATAAAAGTTATTTTATTAACAGACACATCATCACAGAACAGTGAAGAAATGTTTGGATATCTTGTAAATGTCTCACCAGTAAAAACCAGTGGGACCAGGAGATATTTCAACTTCAACATCCAAACAAAATTGGGAGCAAGAAGAGGGGTCTGTTTCTCTCCAGAAAAAAGAACAAATAGGACCACTTTTCAAGATCAAAAAGCACCAGTCAAGATACAGCAGTTTCGCACTGCAGCTTCAAATGATGTTATCGTGGACCATCAGACCGAATTACTTCGTTGGACTCGATAAAAAATGCGATAGGAGTACAGTTTGTTACAGTCAAGGCGAAAGTGCACAGCTTGGATAGTGTGAAGAAAATAACAACGAAACTTAATCAAACACTTGACAAGCAAGAAGGAATACTACTTGACCCATCAGGGCAAATGAAAATTCTACTATGGCAAGATCAAGTCAATTCCATCAAGGAAGGGGAAACGTACATCTTTAAAACTTGCGCGTTAAGGATAACCAGTACAAAGAACGTTATGTTAATCCACCAAAAGACTGTAATAATTATTCTGTTACAGTAGCTGAAAGTTATCAAGAACAACTGCCAGAAGCAGAGGTTATTCCTGAAACACTGGTTATCGCACAAGGTAACATCTACGGGGTAAGCAATATTGCAAAATCAAAATCCTGTCTTCTTTGCGGTAACAGAGTTATCCCGAAGAATGACAAAATCTCCAACTGTACAAAGTGTAGAATGACTGCGAAGCTACAATCGTGTCTGCAGGACTGGCAACTCAAAATCCATGTTCCAACAAGCCAGAAAAAAACCGTGCGTCTCTCAGTCTTCAATAGTGAAATCGGACTATTATTTCCACTTTGTGACCTCGATCCCACGTGCAACGAGGAGACCTCTTAGAGAGTCTGCTTCAAATATCTGATGTCCAAATCCAGTATGACTCTATCACCAACAAGTTGGTTGGCATAAGAACTATATAGACCTGGCAGCAAAAAGGGACATTCCTGCCAATTTTTGTTGACAGCATTTCTATAACTAACGCACATTTAATCTATAGTTTATACTATACTCGTTGATATTCCATTTGGCATCCATTCAATTTTTACAGGTACATAGTTTACCTGTTGAGGTTGTTGGGACTATTTCATTTATAGTTTGCTTGACATTTTGTTGGGGTTGTTGATTCAAATAAAAAAATATTATTGTATATTAAAAGTGTATTGTCGTTTTGATTTGTCACAATGCCCCAGATAATTCTCATGTCTGGCATGGTGGTTTTCGTATTACCTTTGCTCGTGACGTCATCACTGTCTAATAATTTTTTTGGATCGAAGTTCTAATAACAATTTTATGTTTATTGTCTCTCATAAATGTTCATACTAGACTGCCGCGGCCAAGCAAACTCTTCAGCTTCAATCCCGTTGTAAAACAACCCTTGCATAAGGTCACTACTGTCATTTTGCGGAGGGAACCAATGTTTTGTCATTACCTCATCAACAAAACCACGATAAAAAATGCATGCCCAGTTAATGCCTTATAGCCTATAGGACATGCAATTACTGTCCTTAAGACTACCCCTGAAGACTACCCAAGAAACGACTGGGGAAGACACATGCACTTCCAGTATTTACTCGCAGCATTTCACTTACAATTTGTAATTCTAATACAGAAATTATTTGTACACAACAATATAAACGCTATACGAAGCCAAGGAAGGCACATTTTGCTCTACATACTCGGTCAGAGGTGTGTTGAAGTACACAACTCATGTTCTTCCACAGTTTAAATAAACAATTATACTAACCTTCGACAAATCGTGTATAAAACTTATCGAATTTAACTTTTTGCCACAGATAATATGCAGAAAATATTTCTTAGACAGACAAAGGAATAATGGCACTCCTAGCCTGCTCACAGGCTTGCGTGAAAATGTTAATTTATCCAAAAGTGTGAATAAATTAATCCAAGATTGCATAATAATATACTTGTCATTTACCAATCAGAATACGTAAAAGGCCATTCGGTACCAGGGCTTTTTCCCATCGCCGAATTATGAAAAAAGTACCTGGAAACGAGGTTGTACTTTGCGTTGTTCAAAACTAAGTTATCCTTAACCGTTGGTTAAAACATGGGTTAAATTTAACCCTCCTCGCTGGGTGGGTTAACTTGCTAATCGGTCTGTTAACTCGTATTCAAAATGGACGTCGAAGGAGTGAAAAAAGAAAACATGTAAAACTCTTGGCGAAACAAACAGTGTACAAAAACTTTGTGGAGGAAAATCAACCTCAAAAAGTAAATTCTAAGTCTATAAATACTATTAAGATTCTTATTCGTACCGTATGGGCCTTTGAAATGATTTTATACCTATACAAGTTGGCTTTGTCTTTGAATTTTAAATGCGAGCATTAAAGTGGACGATACGGCAACTTTCTGTCCATTTTGGGATGCTATGGTCTAAGCATGGACATCATAATTTACTGTTTTATTGTGTTACTGTGGAAAAGTACCTTAATTTTAATACAAAACGCCAAAAGAAACAGCAACGTCTGCCGGTTTTCATAGTATAGTTTGATACACAAATGCCGTAATCAAGATTGTGTACACTGTACAGTAAAAGGATTTACCTCACGAGATCTTTGTCGATTGCCGCCACCAAAACTGTAGACTGTAGTTTTTAATATTAAAGCCGAGCATTCAACTCAAGTTTCTTCAAAAAATAACTCTATTGAAAAAAATACTTGTATTGTCAAACAATTCGCCGTACCACCACCTGTTTCACAAAGTTTCCTTTTTAAATGCCATTTGTTGAACAGTCATAAGTTCTTGCACATCTACTATTTGCAGCGCAGTGTATAATATCTAGTAAAAACACTGTTTTTTGAAAGCTGTAAAACAACTTCGATGCTCTTTTTCTGTTTTCGTGTTCTGTTTTATAGGATAAATACGTATGCGTTGAAAAATGCTTTTCAACTCCAAAATAATCCGAAGTTCATTTGATTGGCTGGGATTTTGTTCTCAAATTTAATTATTCAAGCACCGCCTAAAATTCCAAAATCGATTTATTTATCCCCGAGCCGACGGCGCGAAGCGCCGTGCCTCGTACTAATTCCCCCCCGGCTATTTACACCCGGGGAAAGGGAAGCATTAGCGAAGTCTAAATTTCATCAATGTGCGCGTGCGTCGGTCACCACCCGTGGGTGGTCATCCTCACTGATCTCAATAATATGGCTGTTTGCCAGGGGTGGGATAAGCAAGATTTCAATTTTCAAAAGCATATATTTGGAAAATCACGTTTCACACAATGAGCTTTGAAGCAATTTTTGTTTGACGAAATGAAAGGAATTGATTTACTGTGGAAAATCGTGCAACATAGGGCAAGTTTGCTTTGAATGTTTAATGTTTATGAATTTTGTTGCTTTAATTTATTGCGTAAAACATGCAACGTTCAGTCAGGAGGTTCAGTGTTAATCAATTACTAATACTTCATGTTAAATCAATGTTTGGAAAACACATGCGAGAGGTTGCTGCATGCATGTATTTCTAGTTACTTTAATCTTTGCCGCTTTGATCACATATATTTTTCTCTTGAAACTTTCAAAATGCTTAAATCTATGTCTGAAATGTTCAATTTCAGTTGCCTATTACTTCTTATACAATAATTCTCCCATCTATCCCATTCATATCCCTAGTTTTGACACTTACTTTCCAGCCAATCAAAAACGTTCTTATATTACATTTATTTTTAAAACAAATTTAACCTTGGGTTACATGTCTTAACCCTGGGTTAAGATACCAGATACAGATCGGCTGCTCATATATTCTATCTAGTACATATAATACAGTAGATGATTAATGCACAAAGTGATTCTGTTATTGCAAACCGATCTCAACGACATTATTCTGGAACAATTAAAAGTACAAGGAAGCATACTCAAGTGCAAAAGTCACAAACATTGCTGATAGACTAGCGTATCTAATTCACTGTTGATATTACGTATATTATTGAGTGATTGGAATAAAGAATTGTGGTTCGGGATGAAGTCTTCATAAAATGTCAACTTCAGGCTCATAGACTCAATATATGTCACACATAATATATCTAAATCCATGGGGGTTTACCCCCATGTTCAGGTTAAGGACTGGCCATATGAGTTTTCGAGATTTTCACTTTTTGATTGCAATTACAAAAATAAGATAAAAACTTATACCTTGACAAACAGTTCCACTTCCCGAATATCCACTATTACAAGTACACATGAACGATCCATCAGTGTTTGTGCAATATGCGTTGGAATGACAATTGCCCACAGATAGAGAACATTCATTAATGTCTAAAAATTAATAGAACAAATGTTCGTGAATGGGTTTTTGATGTGGTATATATAGTTTTGTTTCTTGCACGTATACTCACGTTTAACTGTCTATTTACAGTTGAACGATTTAAAAGCGACAATGCAAATTTTGAATTATATGCTCTAGATTCCCAAACTATGAAACATTCAGAGCATTTTACAATTTTGTCTGTCCAGCATGTGAGAGATTAAGACATAAAGAGTATGCAATACATTCAAACAGTGATGGGAAAGGAAAAACCGGACGTAAGCGAACATGATTAGATCTCTACAGGAAAAGTTATTTTTATAGTTTCTCAAGACCTTAATTTGTGCTTGTTAATAGAGAAAGATCTTGCTAACTGCGAATAGGTACAATATATCTGTGTCGCAAGTCTCAAATATTTGGTTAACGTGGTTATAGCATTTGGTTAACATTTCTTAGAAATGCTCTCTGAACCCCGATCCCAAAGTGCAACTTTTCTATTCTATAAGAATCGTAATACTTCGAGAGGAAATACCATTATGCCCCTTATTGGAATTTCAGCTCAAGGAAACATTTGTATTTGTGGTCGCGAGCTTTATGCTGGCAACACATCAGATCAGCAAATTGAGCCCGGGATGAAATTATGGCTGACAGACAATTTGCCATTGAAGGAGACTTACCAAGGGGGTGCCCACTAAATATAGTAGCCTACCCTTTTTGTCCAAAGTATCACTCAAAAAGGCAATAAGAAGCAAAATTGATTAAAACTCGTGATCGAATTTTAGTCTGAGAACATGCTTCAAAAATGTTCCTTTGACACGCAGCAACAAATTGTATTTGTCATGTCAACATTAAATTTTATAAAAATATGTGACTGAAATAAGTCTAGAGGTGTGATGGTAAGATGAGGAGGAAGATATGGTTTATATCTACCTATAATCTCTAATAGTTAGTTCAAAGAACTTTACAGATAGGTCAAAGACCATCTTCCGCCAGCTAGCACACATTCACGTGAACAAACCATGAAACTTACTGGGAACCAATTGAAAACCTTGTACGACTCTGTTCTGTGCTTTTACCAATCATAGGGCATAACACAGCCCATCCTAATTGACACATAACATGCACGAGTTCATATAATAACGTAATTTACCCTGAGCTGTTGACCGAGTAACATTATCGAAAGATTTTGCCACCCACCCACCTCTCCTCTGCTTACCTTCACTGGGCTTAAAATTTAAAAAAAAATCAGTTAAAGTTTTAATGTTTATAATATTAAGGAATACAGTAATAACATTCTTTTGTTTACAATATACCTGTTCCCATGGAAAGATATAGATAGACATGTATTGTATGTATTTGTATATATGATACAGTAGATGATTATGTACAAAGGGATGCTGTTATTGCCAACCGATCTCAACGACATTATTCTGGAACAATTAAAAGTACAAGGAAGCACATTCAAGTGCGAAAACGTCACAAGCATTGTTGGTAGACTAGTGTATCTAATTCACTGTTGATATTACGGATATTATTGGTACACAGAAAATATTTTTGCTTGTAAGTTCTTGTTGAGTGATTGGAATAAAGAATTGTGGTTGGTGATGAAGTCTCCATAAAATGTTACCTTCAGGCCCATAGACTCAATTTTTGTCACACATAATATATCTAAATCTAAGGAATGTCCATGGGGGTTTACCCTCCATGTTCAGTTTAAGGACTGGCCATATGGGTGTTATTGGTATCACAAATTTAGTTTGGGTTACCTGTTTAGTGGGCCCCTCGCGTGGGTCGGGTACAGTCGGCACAAGGTCGTACCTTGGCCATACACAAAGGTTTTAGTGGAAGTTATTTTGAGTTTGATTACTATTAAATATAAAAATATAGTACGAGTTCTTACTGTTTTGAATGATCGGATGGTACCAGGAGTATAACGACCAAACTGGCTGTCTTTAGACGAAAATCGGTCGTCCAAATCGATAAACAACCGTAACAGTACGACCTTAGATTGTGTTCGGCGACAATATGGATAAAAAAGAACGGGCAGAATACACGGACGAAGGTGAAATGGACTTCCAAGAAGACACAGGAGGACTTCAAAGCCAGTTATCTGAAAATACTACGGAAAGGAAGCTGGAAAAGCTCCCAAAGACTTGGAAATCACACGGGAAATAGAAAAAATAAATGTTTTGACAACGTTGGCGAGCTCGAGCAAGCCAGCGAAACGATACGAAGAATGGACAGCGGATGACGTAAACTGTGTTTAAACTTTGTTTTCCAAAACCGGAAAATAACGAAGAGAAGATATACGGCGCTCGAAATTAGGTGCCCACAACGAAAGGTAGGCAATATATATTTTAAAAAATTAAAAACGATTGGAAACTTGCCTTGTCAAATGTCACAAGACAAATTAGCAAAATAAAATTAAACCGCTTTTGTCATGTTTTTCAAACGAAAAACTTGTGCATATGAAAGTAAAGGAATTGGACGACCTGTTTGTCATGATGCACACGGTATTAGCCAAAATTACTTGTTAGAACTGGATGATGATGATGAAATAAGACAAGCTATTGAGTGGTTTGATATACATGATGAAGAAGTATTCACATTCAAACAAAGCATTGTTGACTATTTACATGAAGCAAAGGGGCACTTAAAAGAAGAATTCTCCAGAAGCTCGGTGAAATCGAAGTACTCTCAGTCGAGTCGTTCGTATGCATCCGGGTCTTCCAACCGATCACAATTAATTCAAGCTAAAGCTAAAACAGCTTCACTAGAAGCTAAGGCAGCATTTTTTAAAGAAAGTCAAGCTCTAGAGATGGCGGCTGAGGAACTTGAACTAAAGCGAATGATTGCGCAAGCGAAAGCCGAGGAAAAGGTTTAAGAACAGTTTGAACACGAAGAATGTAATCAATTTGAAGAGTCGAACAGTAAATTTGCTACTAGCCAAGTAAATTATACCCCTGCACCTTATAGTTATACAGTTAAACCTACAGCAGTTGGTAATGGTTCGCTGGATCTTTCTGAGTCAACACCAGTATTGAAGAGTAAAACAATTCGTACAAGCCCAATACCACAGCCTACTGCGATAAATTACAAACATGCAGAGTCCTTGAGCACTAAAACACCTTCCATTCCCAAACCTGTAACAACCAGTACAAGTAAGAAAGAAAACCTCTCTAAAATAAATCCAGAAGCCTTACCATTCGTCTTTAAGCAAGATAAACGAACAGAACCTCAGAGCCCTATTGAACGGTTGTATTTCCTAGATCAATATACCACCGGAAAAGCGAAAGAGGTTATTAAAGGTTGTATTCAAATCAAACAAATGAAATCGAATGATTCGTATGGTCAAGCTAAAGCCTTGCTAAAGAAACACTTTGGAGATCCTTTCAAATTGGCCTTCACTGATGGCCATTTAGTAAGCTTTGCGATGTAAGCATCACAAAGCTTACTAAATGGCCATCTGTGAAGGCCAGAGATGGACAGCGTTTACAAGGGTTTGCTATTGCATTGGATCCAACAAGCTAAGAACACAACAACTGGCCTGCCGTACAGGGATGATCTAAATACTGCCCAAGTTTCACGTCAGTTATGGGAAAAGTTACCTCTATATTTAAGAAGCAAATGGACAGAGCGAGCAAGTAGGATAAGAAGTACACAGAGTAGAAATGCAACCTTTAGCGAGTTCTCTAAGTTCGTCACAGAGCAAGCTGAATTGGCTATAGACCCAGTGTTTTCGGAAGAATTCTCGGAAAAGTTGAATTAAGAAAGCAAGGATAAATCCGGTGACGGCGACGATATCGACAGGGCAAGGGTATTAGAACCTTTTGAACGAAGCTAGGGAAAAGGAAGAAAACAAAGGACGTGTTAAGAACTGCACATTGTGTTCGAGGCCACATGATTTAAATGAGTGTGAAGAAATTGGCAAGAAAACTCTTCCCCAACGCAAGGACCTTATTAGGGAAAAGGGACTATGTTTTGGATGTTTGAAACCAGGACATATTTCTAGCAAATGTAATGATAAGCTAGTATGCAAGACGTGCGAGAAGAAACATCCTTCTGCACTACATGACCCTTTTTGGAAGCCAAAGTCCAATAAGCTCCAAACTACGCCCAAAGAAAACGTTGAAAAGAATGAACAAGAAAAAATAAACAGTGGACTTACTGCGTGCAGTATTATTGGGGCTGTTGACGTTCCTGTCAACATGGGTATTGTACCTGTCTGGTTACACTACAAGAGTGAACCTAAGAAGAGAATCAAAGTGTATGCTTTATTGGACAACGGAAGTGGCGGAACGTTTATTAAGACAGAAACGATGGAAAGGCTTGGTATCGACTGTGAGGACACTGCGTTGGTGCTAACAACCATGCACAGAACTCAAGAGATTGAAACTAAGGTGGTTAATGGCCTAGTAGCCGCAAATTGCCAGAAAGAAGATGTACATCTGGATCTACCGAAAAGTTACGCGAGAGAACAAATACCGACAGATCGAGAAGAAATAACACGACCAGAAGTAGCTGAAAGGTTTCATCACCTGCAGAAGATAAGCGAACCGCTGACACCCTATATAGAGGACGTAGAAGTTAGTCTACTCATTGGCCTGAACTGCCCAAAAACCTGACGTCCAAGAGAGGTAATACACGGACAAGACACAGAACCATATGCTGTGAGATCTATGCTTGGTTGGTATATCAATGGTCCAGTTAGCAGAAACGATGATGTTATAGACAATGTAATCGAGCGCACGTACAAAGTGTGACGAATCTTCAGGATGACTCGTTACGGAGAGAAACTTCAAAGAAGAAATAGCGCCAAAAACCGTGGAAAGAATGTTCGAATTGAATTTCTCAGAGAAGGAGAAAGGACTGTCTACTTCAAAGGAAGATCGTGAGCTTCTAAAGAAAGTTGGAAGTGGAATCGTGCATCGTGAAGACTCACACTACGAAATGCCATTGCCATTCAAGGAACAAAACTACTTTCGATTCCTATGGTGGCCCGACTCCGACTTGACAAAGGAACCCGTGGATTACCACATGACTGTCTATTTGTTTGGTGGTGCATCCTCGCCGGGATGTTCCAACTTTGCCCTGAAGCGCACTGCTGGTGACCACGATCAAGAATTTGGATCAGACATAGCGGACACCTTGAGACATAACTTTTATGTCGATGATATGTTTGAAATCTGTGCCCACAGATGAAAAGGCAATCGAAGTGGTTCAAGGAACGAAACCAATGTGCAGGAAAGGTGGGTTCAAGCTAATCAAGTTTGTGAGTAACAGTGGAAAGGTACTCGACTCGGTTCCAGAAAAAGAACGAGCGAAAGAGATCAAGGACCTAAACCTAGGGCAAGATAAGCTACCAGTAGAACGGGTACTTGGAGTGTGTTGATACGTTGAGTCGGACACACTGCAGTTTCGGATACAGCTGAAAGATCAACCCTGTACAAGAAGAGGGATCCTGGCAACTATCAGCTCGGTTCATGATCCTCTTGGATTCATCGCCCCGGTAGTGTTAGTGGGAAGAAAGAAGATACTGCAAGATATCTGTAGCACCTGAGATTGGGATGAGCCTGTCGACAAAACGACACGAATGCGTTGGGAGAAATGGAGAAACGAACTTTTCCTGCTCGAAAACGTGAAAGTGAAAAGAAGCTCGAAGCCTACGGAATTTGGAAATGTCGAATTAGCTCAGCTTCACACCATGTCAGATGCATCTACTACGGGATATGGTCAATGTTCCTACTTGGGATTGGTGGCTGAACACGGGACCGGGGACATGTTTCATTCCAGATGGGGAAGGCAAGAGTAGCACCAAAGAAGACATTTAGCATCCCGAGACATGAGTTTGCAGCCGCTGCAGTCGCTGTGAAGATGGCAGATGTGCTGAGAGATGAGTTGACCAACGAAGGCTCAAAAGAATACTATTGGACGAATAGTAAGGTAGTCTTGGGCAACATCAGTAATGAGTCAAAGCTTAGATATTTCACGTTTATGTGGCAAACAGAGTTCAACTGATACAAGATCTTTCTTCGTCATCCCAATGGAGATATATAAACACTGCCGAAAATCCAGCAAACGATGGATCACGAGGTATGATGGCCAAGCAGTTCGTTGAAAAATCCAAGTGGCTCGAAGGTCTTGAGTTCTTGAAAGATTCAGAAGAGACCTGGCTGATGGGAGACGTTGTCGAAAGCAAGGTAGACGCAACTGATCCAAAGGTGAAGGAAAACGTAAATGTGAACGTGGTAACAGAGAAGAACGATTGCTCAGCAGACTCGATCGTTTTCCAAATTTGAATACGATGAAGGCGGCAGTAACGATCTGTCTAAGTTATAAGAAGAATTTAAAGGAGAAAGCAATAACGAAAAAGGATGAATTAATGACCCGAAAGCCCGAAAGTGAAAAAGTAGAACAAAGGCTCGAGAACGAAGGAGTAGAAAGGGTCTCGGCAAGTTCGTGGTTATCGGTTGACGAATTACGGAAAGCAGGGATGGAAATAGTCCAGGTGGTTCAATCCGAGGCAATTCCAGCGGAGATAAAGAATCTGAAGGATATTCAGGCTGATTCCTCGTTAAGCAATCGCCTTTCAGACAAGAAGAAGAAGGCTGTTTTGAAGAAAACGAACGTTTTTCATAAGTTAGATCCATTCGTAGATCCGACGGTATTCTGAGAGTTGGAGGAAGAATACGGGGAGCTAACTTCGGGGAAACGTTGAAAACGCCTAGTATCGTACCGAAGTCGGGACACTTCACGAAGCTGGTTGTCAGTTATATTCACGAGAAAACGCACCATAGTGGCAGAGGTATAACTATGAATGAATTACGAGCTCACGGTAATTGGATCATCAACGGCAACACGGTAGTTCGACGATTCATTTCAGAGTGTATAACTTGTCGACGCCTTAGAGGAACAACAGCCGAACAGAATATGGCGGACCTACCACAGTCGAGACTCGAAGACGTGCTACCATTCACCTATAGCGCGGTCGATTACTTCGGTCCGTGGTACGTTATTAAGGAAGGCAGAAAAGAAGTTAAGCGATACGGAGCGTTGTTTACGTGTATGGCTGGTCGCGCCATACATATCGACGTTACACACTCAATGGAAACAGATTCGTTCATTCAAGCTCTACGCAGATTCACTTGTCGAAGAGGTGCCATCAGGGAACTTCGTAGCGATCGAGGAACTAATTTCATAGGAGCCGAGAATGAACTGAACAGAGCGGTTGAAGAGATGGATGATGACAAGATAAAGGCAGAATTACTCAAGGACGGAATCGATTGGATAAAAAATCCGGCGAAAGCGAGTAACTTCGGAGGAGTATGGGAGCGACAGATTCGATCTGTTCGCAACGTCATGAACGCTCTTATGAAGCAGCATGGTCAGAGATTAGACGATGAGTCTTTACGTACATTCATCTGCGAATCAGAAGAAATCGTTAATGGTCGGCCCTTAACTGTGGAAACGCTAAACGACCCTCTTTCACCTGTACCACTGACTCCGAGCGCATTACTGACTGGCAAAACAATGCTAGTACTACCACAACCGGGGAAGTTTCAGAACGAAGACGTGTATTGTAGACGACGATGGCGACGAGTAGAACACTTATCTAATCAATTCTGGACTCGTTGGAAGAAGGAGTACTTACAGAACCTCCAAACGAGATCGAAGTGGACGGGTTTACGGATAAACTTCAGAGTAGGAGACGTGGTCCTGCTGATTGATGTGAACAAAGTGAAGAACCAGTGGCCTATGGCGAGAGTAACCAACGTGAAGGAAGATGACCAAGGTCTTCTTCGATCAGCAACCGTACGAACGGCAAGCGGTTCGACTCTAGATCGTCCAATCAATAAGTTGGTAGAATTACTGGTAGAATCCTCGGAAGAAGAGCCAGAGAAGACCGGGTAAATTCCCAGACGGAAAGCCACGATCGTTAAGATTCGGCAGACAAACAGTTGAAAGGAACATGCAATCTAGCTAAGTATACTTAGAGACATTTGATATTACGAACTGTTTTTAGAATCAAGTGACATTCCGTTCGAACTTGAAAACCGATTGGTTAGTTTAAGGCAGTCGTGGTTTTATGTTACTTTATGGTAAAATGGTCGTTAACTATTTTAAAGGAGCCATGATGTTAGTGGTATCACAAATTTGTTTGGGTCACTGTTTAGTGGGCCCCTGGCGTGGGTCGCGCACAGTCGGCACAAGGACGTACCTTGGCCATACACAAAGGTTTTAGTGGAAGTTATTTTGAGTTTTATTACTATTAAATTTAAAATTATATTGCGAGTTCTTACTGTTTTGAATGGCCGGATGGTACCAGGAGTATAACGACCAAACTGACTGTCATTAGACGAAAAACGGTCCTCGAAATCGATAAATTACAACCGAAACAATGGGTTTAATTTCCAGATTTTCACTCTTTGATTGCAATGACGAAAATAAGATAAAAATTTACCTTGACAAACAGTTCCACTTCCCGAATATCCACTATTACAAGTACACAGGAACGATCCATCAGTGTTTGCGCAATATGTGTTGGAATGACAATTATCCACAGATAGAGAACATTCATTTATGTCTAAAAATTAATAGAACAAATGTTCGTGAATGGGTTTTTGATTTGGTATATAGTTCTATTGTTTCTTGTACGTATACTCATGTTTAACTGTCTATTTACATGCAGTTGAATGATTTAAAAGCAACAATCCAAATTTTGAATTATATGCTATATAGGTTTCCAAGCTATATGAAACATTCAGAGCATTTTATAATTTTCTCTGTCCAGCATGTGAGAGATTAAGACATAAAGGGTTTGCAATACATTCAAACAGTGGTGGAAAAGAAAAACGCGGTCGTAAGCAAACATTATATCTCTACAGGAATAGTTATTTTTATAGTTTCTCAAGAAGTTAATGTGCTTGTAAATAGAGAAAGATCTTGGTAATTGCCAATAGGTACAATATATCTGCGTCGCAAGTCTCAAATATTTGGTTAACATGGTTATATCATTTGGTTAACATGGTTATATCATTTGGTTAACATTTCTTAGAAATGCTCTCCGAACCCCGATCCCGAAGAGCAACCTTTCCATTCTATAAGAATCGTAATACTTCGAGGGGAAATACCAATAAGCCCCTTATTGGTATTTCACCTCAAGGAAACATTTGTATTTGCGGGTAAGCTTTATGCTGGCAATACATCAGATCAACAAATTGAGCCCGGGGATGAAATTATGGCTGACAGAGAATTTGCGGTAATCGTTCTATGTTTCGCGCACCAATATAGTAAACGTCATCTAACGGATACTATAGTGTACTGCAACGACAACTGGATATACCTCCATATATATATATATATATATATATATATATATATATATATATATATATATATATATATATATATATATATATATATATATATATATATATAT